CACACGTCTCCATCGAACTCGCTTTTGGGCAGCCCTCTTTATAAGCCCGGCAACCCTTGCCTCTTCTATTGTCCTTCTCCAGGATTTCCTTGTCCTGCCTACCTACCTTTTCTCCCGGGGATCCCAGTCTTGGGCGAATATTGAAATTATACAGGTCTAAAGTTTGATATAACATAAAGCAACGAGCTGAGACTGGCAATTGTTGTGCAGCCAATGACACCCAAATGAAGTCTAAACCACAAGCAGTATGAGATTATTCGTAGTTTAGCTTGTTCGTGTTTGGAAAAAGCCATAATTGTATGTTCCGTGTATAATGTCAACATTGTTAAAATATCGAATAATCTTAATTAGATACAAAGATAACCCCACGTTACACCATACATTCGTAAGTTGACTAATATGACATATAACATATAACTAATAAATTGTAGCATATTTTCGAAAAAATTCACATTTCTAATAAATTTATCCAGAAAAAAACTCGTTTTAATGAAATTAAAAAAACAAAAAACAACTATAATAATAAAAAGCTTTTTGAATGCAATGAAAAAATAAATAAACTGATTTTCTTTAAATTTATAATAATTCACAACCATTTCAGTAAACCAAAAGTTTGGGTCTTTAGTCTTTGTAATAAATCCTTTACAAACATTTTGTCGCTGAGGATAATGTAGCAAAAATATTTTGTTTTAACTATACAGTCAACATATCCATGTGTGTGTATGTCTGTGGGAGGGGGGGGGTTGAGTAAGAGAAAGAACGAAGTTGTTATGTGACATGTGACTTAATTTTATCTGAATTGTAAGGAGGGGTTGTTGAGTCATTCGGTCTACGTATCAACAGTGAGGTATGTTGATGTTTGTTTATTATTTTAGGATCATTAAAAGTTCAAATTAACTATTATAGATTTTTTTTAAAAAGTGAAATATATAAAATAGCATGCGTCAGCCGGGAATCGAACCCGGATCGACTGCTTGGAAGGCAACCATGCTGACCTTTACACCACCGACGCCGATACATGGTCACTCTCAATTTGATTTAAATTTTGATTTGCTAATGATAAATTTGACAGTGATTGATTTGAATATTGACCTGTTTGTAGTCCTCAATCGACCACGTCACACTCCGGGGGTGGGGGGGGGGGGGGGGGGGGGAGAAACTTCAACTGGAGATTTCATTTTTGTATAAGTCAACTATTGACACTATCAGATGTCAAACGATGAATTTCACCTGTCTTGAGTCATGCAGAAGTCTTCCGTGGTTCTGCAACAATGGTATGTTGACTGTATAGTTAAAATAAAACGACTAATAAGGGCAGATAATCTAGTTTTTAAAAGATTTTAAACTAAGGGGAGGTAAAAAAACAAGTTCTGCATTATCTTTTCATTGTCGCCTGTAAACTGTCGTCACGGACGGCTGCTTTAACGAGGGGGGGGGAGTAGAAAGTGTGGGGGAGGATAATGGTCCTTCACGAGCTTGTGACAGTGTTTTAAAGCAAAATATTTTCAGTAGCAACGTTGGTAGTGTCGAATTCACAAATTATGAATTACTGAAAAATAGAAAGTAAAAAAACTAAATAGCGGGTCAGCTCGTTTTTATTGTTGTGATAGCAGGGAATATAATCCGGGCCGTCTGTTTTGAAGGCAACCATGCTGACCTTTACACCACCGACATTCAATATGAGAGATAACTTATGATGTGTAAATTTGGGACTACAGCCTTCTAATTTTTTGTTTGATCACCAAAATAAATGCAATAATGGGATTTGGGAAATTACATATTTTAGCAACATAATCTTTTATTAAAAAGAGAAAGTTTGTTTTAATTCTTATAAAAAAATTGATGATCATTAATTGAAGACTTCTAACGCCAATGTGAGCGTATCGTTTAATTTTAAACAATAATAATGTAAAAAAAAAAACAAGCTTTTTGTTTTCTTATATTGTCAATGGGTTTATTAATTTTGGACATAAAATACTCTTAATACTAAATTAAACAACAAAAATTTTTTTATTGATAAAAAAAAAATACTTAAACTTTATACAAGCATTGTATTTTCCGAAGTATTAATTAAATACTACCAAGAATAATTTTCATTTTCCCTTTAACAATGTTATAATATGGGAGATTATTGACTGCACTTAGTTAGCCAATCATTGAAATTATTTGTTGTGTTGTCAGGAAAATATCCCCTTTACTAAAGACAATTTACCGAGCTCAAATTGTTACATCATAAGGGTTAGATGGGGGTGATGTCTTATATCTCGTTCTCAGATATTTTAAGAAATCATTTACGTCTGTATCAGAAATTATTATAATTTTATTGTCTATATTTTTATTTTTATTTTGTAAAAAAAACCCGGCTTATATATGAGTATATGTTACGTAAGATTTTTAAATAGAATTTTTCGATTTACCTATCAAAATATTGTTGATTTAAATTTTAATACTAAGGACAAAAATCTACATTAGTTTTTAAATTCAGTGCCTTATTTTATTCAAGTCCCATGTTTTACTTTTTTAAATGATTTTTATGATAGGCCTATTACATTTTAAAAGCTTTAATGTGGTCAGTACTATGCCCAGCCGCCTTTTGCTTCCATATCGTGAGTCAGGTACCCATTAGAGCTGGTTGGACTCAGGGGCTTTCCACTGACTTGTGACACCAAACAGTCAATCTTCAAATCAATCACCGTCGATTCAACCAGTCCGATCGGAATTTCAAATAAATCTAAGTTGGTAAGTGTATCGGCGTCGGTGGTGTAAAGGTCAGCATGATTGCCTTCCAAGCAGTCGATCCGGGTTCGATTACCGGCTGACGCAAGTCTCAGTTTAATTTTTATTTTAAATTTTAATGATCCTAAGATATACAATAACATCAATGTGCCAGTTGTAACATAGACTGAAAGTCCGAAAGTCGCCCCACACCTTCCATAAAATGACGTCATACCTAAGCTAACCACTGTTCTATTTCTAGTTGTTCAATGGCTGTAGTCGTACGTACACTTCAGCTAGACTTCAAGATGTGTGACGTCAATTGAAGGTAAGAATACTCAATCACCGTCAGCAAATGATCAGAAGGCTGTATTCTCAAATTTGCGCATTAGAAATTATCTTTTCCCATATTAAGTGTCGTGGTGTAAAGGTCAGCATGAGGTCTTTCAATCAGTCGACCCGGGTTCGATTTACGGCTGACGAACTCTTTTTAATAAAATGTTTGATTACCAATATAAATGCTATAATGGGAAATGGGAAATTACATATTTTAGCTTCAAAATCTTTTATTAAAAGGAGAACGTTTGTGTTAATATTTCTTACTCTCATTGCATGCACAAAGTTTGTTATAATAAAGGAGTTTATATTTGTTATTTTATTAGTTAAAGAAACAAAATAAAACCCGTTTTTTTTTTTGTTGTGGCTGTTGACTAGTTTTTTTTTTTTTTTTTTTTTTTTTTTTTTCCGATACTTTATTTATACATAAACATTTACAAAACGTCTAAAATACCTATTTACCCTGGTTTCTCTTTCAAAAACCGACGAGTGACTTCGAGGAGCGAGTCCTCACATGGTGTACCTTTGTATGCTCCTTCATGCCCTCTAATGGGAGGGATACGGTACAATCTCGGCAGTCATACAGTGTTACTTCTTGATGATTTTCTGCAAAGTGCGCGTATATGTCTGTGTGGTACCCTTTGTCTACACAAAGATCACACCGTAAGAATCTATAGTGCATTCTATGTTCGTGCTTTTCCGTTTCCTCAGCTGTTCTATTTTGTTCTGGGCAGAACCTACAGCGTTTGTTGTCATGAGTAAATTTTTTACTTTTTATTATTTTTTTCTCCTCTGTGGGGCTATCTTCCTTCTTCCTTTTGAAGCTTGCAAGAGTGGTGTCCATTTCTGAGAAAAAGAACGGAGCGTTCAATGTTAGAGCTCTTGACGTAGCTGGTTTGTCTGACTTCGACCTTGCTGCAGTTGCTTGTTTGCTTGGTGTTGATGGTGTACTTGCCGGCCTGGATGGGTTGATCGGTTTTTTGATCGTTGCTTGTTGTTTGCTTGGTGATGGTGTTGTCTGGGCGGGTAGTGCTTCTAGCTGGCTGCTTGTTGTTGGAGGTGGCTTGGCGATTGGAGTTATTTGCTGGCTGCTTGGTGTTGTTGCTGGTTGGGCGGGTGGCGCTGGTTGTTGTGCTGGGGGCTGTTTTTTGGGCGGTGTTTTCGGGTTCGGTGCTGCGTCTTCGGTTGAGGAGTGTTGCTGATTACTTGGCATGGGGCCTTGTAGAGCGGATGGAGCTGTAGATTGTGCTGGTATTTGATCATTGGGCGTTGATTCTAGGTTGAGAGTTTGACAGCGGTTGGTCCAGTGTGAAGTTGACGAGCAGGTTTGGCAGGCTTGTTTTCTGTCGTTGATGGCTATTAGGATGTTGTGTGACTTGTTTCTGTAGTTTAATTGGATGTAGTGGGGGATGTTTGCTGGATTGTCAGTGTGTATGGAGAAGCTACGGTTGGTGGTGAGAGGGATTGTGTATATGGAAGGTTCTTTGTTACTGTAGGGTTGTAGTGCTTTAATGAGTGTGCGATCGCTTAGTGTAGGTGGGACCCACCTAAGGGTTCCGTTGACTCTGTTCTTTTCGTGTAAAGTGAAGAATAGTGTGTAGGGACCGTGTGTTTTGTGTGTGTTGTGTAGGGTGGTGACGTCGAAGGCATTTGATGTGAAGAACCACGTGTCTGCACGACCATAATTGAGGAGGAAGATCTGTTGGTTGCTTATTAGTTGTCGAAGGATGTGACCTCTTAGATTGGGTTGACCTCCTGAGTTGATTGTAACTTGAATGGTGGGTGAGTCAGCCGGGAAGAGTTCTGGACAGTCCTCATCAGGTAGATCGAGTATGGCGGTGGTGGCTGAAAGGGGTTGGGCCCTGGATTTCATTAAACCCCCCGGACCGTAGTCCGGGAGGCTCCTCCCCAAGCCTCTCGGCCCAGGGGGAACATCCGAGGGCGCAACCCCTCTGTGAACGTTGACTATATTTGCATATGTCGTTGAGCTAGGCTGTGACATTGTAGGGAGCGTAGAATAGTTTTCAACTAGCAATAACCACGCCTCGGTAAAACCTCATTGGCTATGCTATTCGATCTATCAAATAGTTAAATTAATTTCGTAACATAACGTTGCAGCGATTTCAGTGAAAATAACGTCAGATGCAGGTGTTGTGGCTGTTGACTAGTTACTGACTAGTAATTAAAAAAAATAGTTAATTGTCTGCTAGGAGTGTATTTTGAAACACCCACAAAGGCGTATCGTATTAATTTATAAGGATAAAAATGCAATAAAACAACGGCTTTTTGTTTTTGTATTTAGTCACCTTGTTTATTGATTAAAAAACTAAAATACTCCAAATGCTAAATTAAACAACAAAAATGTTTTTGTTAACAAATAACAAATCTCACAAACATGATATAATTATTGCACTTCCCGAAGTATTAATTAATATTAACAAGAATATATTTCTAGTTTCCCTTTAACAAATTTAAACTTAAATATGGGAGATAATTAACTGCACTTAGGCAATCATTGAAATTATACGTTGTATTGTTAGGAAAAAATCCCCTAAACTAAAGACAATTTACCTAGCTCAGATTGTTACATCATAATGGTTAGATGGGGGAGAAATCATTTACGTCCCTATTATAATTTTTTTGTCTATATGTTTATATTCATTTTGCAACTAAGACGGCTTATTTACGATTATATGTTACGTATGGTTTTAATAGATTTTTAATTATCAGGTATTTAATGTTATAAATCATACTAGTCGACTTACGAATGTATAGAGTAAGATGAAGTTATCTTTTTTTATTCATATTGGAATTATTAGATATTTTAACAATGTTGACATTATACATGGAACATACAATTATGTTGTCTTGCAGTTTTTAATAAAGATATTCTTCAGGCTAAAGTAATAATAGTACCTAATAATACTAAGAATACTCAATCACCGTCAGCAAATGATCAGAAGGCTGTATTCTCAAATTTGCGCATTAGAAATTATCTTTTCCCATATTAAGTGTCGTGGTGTAAAGGTCAGCATGAGGTCTTTCAATCAGTCGACCCGGGTTCGATTTACGGCTGACGAACTCTTTTTAATAAAATGTTTGATTACCAATATAAATGCTATAATGGGAAATTACATATTTTAGCTTCAAAATCTTTTATTAAAAGGAGAACGTTTGTGTTAATATTTCTTACTCTCATTGCATGCACAAAGTTTGTTATTAATATACGAGTTATGTTGATAAAAAAACGTGCGATTGTTTTGTTGTGGCTGTTGACTTGTATTCTATTTTTTTTTTTTTTTAGCAGTAACCTTTACTTTATTAAAATGCCTTTTTATGACAAATAAAGAAGAGTAGGATCTTTTAAATGCACCAAGTTCAACTTAAAGCAGGTTGATCTTGAAGTATACTTTTGTGTGTTATAACTCCCTTTTGTATTAGATCAGGTATCTCCACAGCCAGCCATGGTCCAAGCCCAAGGGCCATAGCATGTGCAATACCAAATCTAGGAACATTACGTGCCCATAAGGGTTTAAAATGATCTGTTAGACAGATTTTGCCTCCCCTGTACATTTTTGCAGTTTTTCCATCTAGCTCTGGAATAGCTATTTCGGGAGAAGTTGTAGGGTATGTCACTGGAATATCAAATTCAATGTCGAATTCATATTTGAGTAACTCATGAATGTACCAGCATTTGCCAAACCACCTAGTTCCTTCTTTATTGGACTCCAGCCTAAGCCAGTCATTATCACTTTCTTTGTTGTTTTGTACATACTGTATTAATGCTTGGTATTCTTCCTTGAGTCTTGGTATCCACAAATCACCATCTCGTGGTCCGGCTTTGGTTTTTAACAGAGGAATTTTGGCTAAAGTTGATTTTGTTGCTTCGTCTACCATGGTGTATTGACTGAAATTCCTTTTTTTTTTTTTTTAAAAAAAAAAAAAAATAGACTGAAATTCCATGACTTGTATTTTAAAAAAGTATTATTCGCTGCTTCTTGATCACAAGCTGTATAATAACTATAAAGGCGTATCGTGTTATTTTTAAGGATGAAAGTGCAATAAAACAAGGGTTTTTTTGTTTTCATATGTAGTCACGTTCTTTATTGATTTTAAAAACAAAATACTCTAATTACTAAATCAAACAACCAAACATTGCTTTTGTTAATACAGTAAACACGTATAAACATTATATAAGCATTGTAATTCCCGATATAATAATTAATATATTTACGAGAATATATTTCTATTTTCCCTTTAACACGTTTACATTTTAATATGGGAGATAACTGATTGCACTTAGGCAATCATTGAAATTATTGGCTGTGTTGTCAGGAAAATATCCCCTATACTAAAGACAATTTACCGAGCTCAAATTGTTACATCATAAGGGTTAGATGGGGGAGAAATTATTTACGTCCCTATCAGAATTTATTATAATTTTATTGTCTGTATGTTTATATTCATTTTGTAACAAAGACGGCTTATTTACGATTAATGAGTTTCGAGCCGACCTACGGCGTATCATTTGCCGCTATTTAGTTGTTTTATTTTCTACTTTACAGTAATTCATAATTTTTTAATTTGACAGCAGCAATGCTGCCACTGAAAATATTTGCTTTAAAACACGATCAGTAGGTTAATAAGGACGATAACCCCCCGCCACCCTCCTTTCCCCCAACCCCTACCCTACCCCCCCCCCCCCCGGGAAATCAGCCTCTACTTAGTTACCTCCCCTAAGTTTAAAATCGTTTCAAACTAAATTATAAGCCCCTAATAGCCGTTAATAAACCCGGCTCTACGATTGTCTACCAATTATCTCTGACAGTGGCGTAGCGAGGTCGGGTGTTACCCGGTGCGGCACTTAATGGTGTCACCACCACAGAGGCGTAGCGACCCTTCCCGGGGACAAACTTTCAAATTTTCGATTTGCACCCCCCCCCCCCTCAAACTTTCGATTTGCACCCCCCCCCCTCAAACGTTCGATAATGGTGTCACCCGGTGCGCTCCGCACCCCCCTCGCTACGCCTCTGATCTCTGATCAATGGCAACACTTTGTCACTATATCCCACCCCACTTCCTCCTCTTCCCCCCACCCCCTCCACCCCATTGTGATGTGGTTTATGGATGACCTTATACAAGGCAATATTCAGATTACACAAATTCATTGTTTTTGTGGCAATAGTTGACTTCTAGAAAGTTGAAATTCCCAGTTGAAGTTTCTCCCCCACCCCCCCCCCCCCCCCCCTCACAGGAGTGTGACTACAAATAGGTCAATATTCGAAGCAAACAGTGTCAAAATAATCACAATCCGATTTGAATTTTAATCAAATTGAGCTAAGTTATGTAACGGCGTCGGTGGTGTAAAGTTCAGCATGGTTGCCTTCCAGGCAGTCGATCCGGGTTCGATTCCCGGCTGACGTACTTTTTATTTATTTTTACACCTGTTACCAACTAAGTCTTTTATTGTAAATTTTAAATTACCTAAAAAAAAATTCATAAAAAACGTTTTAATAACAAGCTTTTATGTAATGATGCACTAAAAAGTAGAAAATAAATTATAGACTACTACTTAAATAACTATAAAGAAAAGCGTGGGTCACTTTAGTATCTATTGGATACCTTTACTAATGTTAAGGAAGACACCCACGCTTTTCTTTATAGTTATTTAAGTAGTAGTCTATAATTCATTTTCTACTTTTTAGTGCATCATTACATAAAAGCTTGTTATTAAAACGTTTTTTATGAATTTTTTTTCAGTACTTTACATGTTTTATCTACAATAGAGTTACATGACTAAAAACCATTGCGCGCCTACTGAATATCACGTTCAGTAGGCGCGCAATGGTTTTTGAACGCAGCCATTACGTGGTCGTGATGGCGCAGCTATTGATGACGCGTGTGGTGTGGTTGGCTAGACATGCCTACTGATTCGGTCCAAATTTTAATTAATTCATAAAAAATCAATTAGGCATCCAATTAAGTCAAATTTAGTTTCAGATTGCATTGTCTTCATGTCTTGACCCACGTGCCAACTGTGAATCGTATCGGTCAAGTAGAACTGTCCGAATTTTCACTCCTGCGTTTCCGTCTAGACTGACGACTGACGACTGACGACTGGCGACAGAGGAAGTGAGTTAAATAAAAGCTTGTAAAAACAACAACAAGCAAGAACCTTCACTCTATTATCATAAAGGCCTATAGTCCCAAAACTCCTTCCCCCAACTTCCCACCCCCTATCTTGCCCATCCCATAATGTGACGTCATGCTGATGCTAACAACTCCACCCCTGCAGAATTTATTTTCTTAATAAATTGATTTCATTCTGAAATATTGACTGAGCTCCGACAACATTGAGTATATTATGATGCAGAATTTCTTTATTACAAAAATAGTTTTTAATAAATCGACCAACATATTGAGAATCAGATTCATACATTACTTTATGATTTGAGAAATTTTCCGCCAGCCCCTCCGCCCGCCATGAAATGTGACGTGGTTTATTGACGACGTAAATGCTCAAATCAATCACTGCCAACGACTGATTATAATGCTGTATGTCTATAGCTACTGATTAATTTTCCTATAAGTCAAAGGGAGGTCAGACTTTAATATCGGCGTCGGTGGTGTAAAGGTTAGCATGGTTGCCTTCCAAGCAGCGTGTGACGTCAATTGAAGGTAAGAATACTCAATCACCGTCAGCAAATGATCAGAAGGCTGTATTCCCAAATTTGCGCATTAGAAATTATCTTTTCCCATAGTGTCGTTGTGTTAAGGTCAGCATGGGGTCTTCCAAGCAGTCGATCCGGGTTCGATTTCTCGGCTGACGAACTGTTTTTTAATAAAATGTTTGATTACCAAAAAAAAATATGCTATATTGGGAAATGGGAAATTACATATCTTAGCGACATAAGCTTTAATTAAAAAGAGAAAGTTTGTTTAATTTCTTATTTTCATTGCATGCACAAGGTTTGTTATTAATTTACTAGTTATGTTAATAAGAAAAAGTGTAATTATTTTGTTGTGGCTGTTGACTTGTAGTCTTTTTATAGTAGGTTTACATGAACATATATGTACATACGAGCCGACC